GTGTTGCGTTTATATTTTTGTTCAGTGTAAAAAAGAATGTGTCAGATAGCAGGATGCAGCATCAGCTTTGTTACAAAATTAACAGTGAAATATTTGCACTTTAACAGGATTTATGTTCACTGTTTTATTGCTTCAGAATATCTCCACATTCCAATCACAAGTTCAGAGTTACCTTGGTGACTCTTATGTATGTCTTTCTTTTAGGCTGGAGTATTGTCATTTCTTTACTCTCTGAAAACCTTTATTTGACCCAAAATGTTACAGAAAGAGTACTGAGAGAAACTAAAAGGAGAGGTGTCTTGATGCTCGCTCAGTCATCCAGGTAAGTAAATCCCAGAAGGTTGATTCTGTTCATCTGGACTTTGTTTTCAGTCTCAGCTGACTGCAGGTTTCCCCAAACCCAACCTTACTATTGCTTGCTTAAAGGGGAATTCTTGGGTTTTTTTTGCTTTAAAGTTTTGACCTTAATATGTGAATTGTATTTATGTATTGATTTGGCAACAAGCACACTGATAGATGTATCCATGATTACATGATTATAGTACTTTACCTATTTGCTTTTCTCCTTAAACACCAAGTATAAGAAGTTCCCACTATAAAAATCAGAACCAGAAACCCAGCCACTGCTGATAAGCCAATGAAAGCCTGATGATGATGATTTACCTCATAATCTGCAGACAGACAGAAAAGCATGAATAGTTACGACGCAAAAGACAGAGAGACAAAGCTACACAAAGACACTCACACATATCTGAACAGGTTGGTGCTCTTATCTGAGCAGAGAAGGCAGGATTAAGGGATTTGTTTGGGAATATAAAACGTCCCCCATTCTGTAGTAACAACAGTAATGACATTTATATTTACTGACTGGGAATGGCACTGCATCTGTGTTACACTGTGACACTCCATCTGTGAGGTGATAACAAAGTGATAATTATTATGTAGATTTAGATATCATCATCTACCTCAACTAAGAACAAGCTGCAGTGTGTTTTCTGTCATTTCAACTCAAAAATGTCAGTTGTCTTTTTATCAGTGGACATGATTTAAAGTTATCATCATCCCTTCACCTCAGGTTTCCACCATCTGGTTCCATTCAGACTCAATGACCCTAACCTTTCTCAGAATGCTGTTGAAGAGCCCAAGCTGTGCGTTGAAGTGAGCCCGACTAGCTGGTGTCGCTCAACCTCACGCACTAGCTTAGGCTCTTTCTGCACCAGAGAGGTGATGTTCCATGTCCCAGTAGACTACCTCCATAGCTGCCAGGGCCTCTGCCCATGACTGCTGTCCAACACACATTGTAGCTGCTCCCTACGGGGCCTCGTGCATTTGGTGAGCCTACAGGAGCGCAAGCCCATTTACCACAGTACGGTAGTGATTCATGGAGAATAAATTATCATTTAAAACTGTAAAAATTGCATTTGTATTTACTCTGGTTCTATTTATTTAAAAAAATAAGAAATTTGGAAGAGAAAATACTTTTCACTGCTCTGTGTATTAGTCAGTTGCACTTAGTTATGTTAGCATGTAAATGGAGAGTCCTCTTCACACACTGAGGTTATTTATGGAGTTCCACAGGGTTCAGTGCTAGGACCAATTCTGTTTACATTATACATGCTTCCCTTAGGCAGCATCATTAGAAGACATAGCATACATTTACACTGCTATGCAGATGACACCCAGCTCTATCTGCCCATGAAGCCAGATAACACACACCAATGAGTTAAATTGCAGGAATGTCTTAAAGACATAAAGACCTGGATGGCCGCTAACTTTCTGCTTCTTAATTCAGATCAAACTGAGGTAATTGTACTCGGCCCTGAAAAGCTTAGAAATATGGAATCTAACCAGATTCTTACTCTGGATGGCATTACCTTGGCCCCCAGTAACGCTGTGAGGAACCTTGGAGTCATTTTTGACCAGGACATGTCCTTCAATGCACATATTAAACAAATATGTAAGACTGCTTTCTTCCATTTGTGCAACATCTCTAAAGTTAGAAATATCCTGTCTCAGAGTGACGCTGAAGAACTAGTTCATGCATTTATTAGTTCCAGGCTGGACGATTGTAATTCATTATTATCAGGAAGTCCTAAGAACTCCCTGAAAAGACTTCAGTTAATCCAAAATGCTGCAGCAAGAGTCCTGCCAGGGACTAGAAAGAGAGCGCATATTTCTCCTGTTTTGGCTTCCTGTTAAATCCAGAACTCAAAATCCTGCTCCTCACATACAAGGTCTTAAATAATCAGGCCCCATCTTATCTTAATGACCTTGTAGTACCATATCACCCTATTAGAGCACTTCGCTCTCGCTCTGCAGGCCTACTTGTTGTTCCTAGAGTATTTAAAAGTAGAATGGGAGGCAGAGCCTTCAGTTTTCAGGCCCCTCTTCTGTGGAACCAGCTTCCAGTTTGGATTCAGGAGACAGACACTATCTCTACTTTCAAGATTAGGCTTCAAACTTTCCTTTTTGCTAAAGCATATAGTTAGGGCTGGACCAGGTGACCCTGAATCCTCCCTTAGCTATGCTGCAATAGGTGTAGACTGCTGGGGGATTCCCATGATGCACTGGGTGTTTCTTCTTCAGTCACCTTTCTCAATCACTATGTGTTTATAGACCTGACTGCACTAAATTATTAGTGATTCTCTTCCACAGTGTGTCTTTGTCCGGTCACAGCAGATAGCCCTGCCTGTCCCTGAGCCTGGTTCTGCTGGAGGTTTCTTCCTGTTAAAAGTTTTTCCTTCCTACTGTCGCCAAAGCACTTGCTCATACCCACATAGCAAAATTGGTATGGCCCACACAATGTACTTACACATGGCCCACATACCGCAAAGAATGATGGCCCTTTGGTGGCCCAGATCAGGTTTGCCAGATGTGGCCCACACATGGGCCAGCACAAGGCCAGTTGCAGACACACTGGTGGTCCTGTGTTGGCCCATGTGCGGATTACCTCTGGCAAACCCGATCTGGGCCACCAAAGGGCTGTCATTCTTTGCTGTATGTGGGCCATGTGTAAGTTGTGTGCAGCCATGGGCCAGTTGCAGACACACTGCTGGCCCAGAACAGTTTCAGCTCTGGCCCCAGATGTCAGCCTAATGTGTAGCTTAATCAAGCCATGTAATAACAACATGTGCTGGAACATAATAGTGCAAAAGCAACATGACTAAACTCTGTTCAGTGAATGGACTGATTCTTATATAGCACTTTTCTACTCTCCCAGATTACTCAAAGTACTCATTACACATTGACCCATTTTCTCTAAACTGGGTGCTTCCTAACTACATTCACACTATTGACATGCAGACTGGAGGAGCCAGGGATCAAACCACTAACCTTCCAATCAGTCGGTGACCTGCTCTACCTCCTGAGCTACAGCCATCCACTGGCAAACATGAGTAAACCCTCACTAGGTTTTGGATAAAGTGTACACTCACGAACCTGTCAAACCTGCATTTGAAACATTGGCTACCATAGCAGTATAGTATTGCAACATGGCATTTGGGTCTTCTAACTAAAATGGGAAAATAGGAACATAAACAGTGCCATCATTGCCAGACCTGGCCCACATCTGGTTGACATACACTCTGCCATGACACCAGTCAGTCAGAAGTACCAGCTTGATGCCGGACCCAGGGAAGACCTGTTTTGTATGAGCCTGGGCCACATACACCAAACCACAATCGAGCCAGATGTGGCATGCCATCACATAAACAGTGCCATCTACGCCAGGGCTGGCCCACATCTGGATGACATACGGCTTATCATGCCAGAAGTCAGCCAGCAGTGCCGGCTTGATACCAGATCCGGGCCAGACCTGCTTGATATGTGGGTAGAAGGGTCATATGATTGCTGTGGTTTTCTATGTTTTGATTTTTTTGTGTATTGTTGTAGAGTCCTTAAATTACATTAATAAAACAACTGTTGTTGTGATTTGGTGCTTGTATAAGAATTTCTTATATTTATGTATTATTCATATTATGTTATTGTATAATGCCTTGGTGCCACTGGATTTTAGCATGTCTCACACTCATGCAGTTACACAGATGGTGGGAGTCTGGTAAGGAAGTTGGGGGGAAGCAGAACTCCACAGGAAGAATCTTTTGTCTCTTCGATGACTCTGGGAGGTAGCAAGGGAGTGTGAACCTTAAGGTGTGAAACAGCGGTGCACTGCCTTTTGTTCCTGAAGAAGGTTTTTTAACTGAGAGCCATGCTAGGCTCAGGGAGACTCTGCTGACCGTCTGCCCCGCGGTCATGCAGGCTCTCTACCAAGCTTGGTTTTCTGTTCTTTGTTTTGATTAAAGAATGTTAGCTGCCACTCACCGCTTGTATGCAGGCTTTATTTAAGTGGAAAACTTCCACAACATTCCATACAAATAAAATCGGTGCAAAAAGCAAGACTGAGAAAAAATATCTTTTTTAGCACCAAAAATGGTGTTTATGTATCCGAGGTGCTACTTATGTGTTTAGTTTGTACAAATAAAAGAAATACTCTACACCTAAAATCACCTACACCAACAAGCAGTCATAGCTAGGGATCGGGATTGGTCCCAGTAGTTTGATGCTGTGTAAGTCAGTCCAGTTACCATTTAAAAATGGGGCTTTATCTTTTATCTCTATAGCACAAAATTTGCCAGTGCTGTTGTTACCTTCTGTGTTTTTCTTGGGGAGCAGCATTTGCTTGGTATTGTCGAGGTGTCCATCATTGATCTCTGGGTTTATTCCTAGTAAATGGCACATGAGTGGGTACACATTAACAGTCTCAAAGGGCCCAACCACTAAATCCTTCTGGAAATCAGGCCCAACTGCCCTGAAGAAAGGCTTCATGTCCATCACTTGATTGTCAAAGCCATGCTCTCCTTTGTTGAACTGCACAGGGAAGAACTAGAAGTTGAGAGAAAACAGAGAAAACCATGAGTTGTGGAAAAGAGTAAGTATATGTAACTATACATTTGATCATTTTTGTTTCCCTGAGTTATGATCTGAAGTTTTACTCAGTAGGACCACATCATGCTGTGCAAAAGGGTAGTTGATGTTATCCTCAAGGTTTCAGAGATACTAAGAGCATGGCAGGAGTTTACCTCTTATTATCCACTAAGTCTTGGGTGATCTGACTAGGGACAGTGTTGGGTTGTAGCCACATGCTAAAGAGTCACATTTTCAGAAAGTAGATGGGCATGCATTCTCTCACCCCATTGATTACGTATCCTGGATCAGCAAAAAGGATGATGGGAAGGAGTTGAGCATGTCTAATATAGTGCAGCCACACTGGCATCTCTTCCTTTTTATACACATGAAGATGTGGGTGACTTCCTTTGAGGGCACTCTAGACCTTCTCAAGCATCCCATCCTTAGGAAGCAGCATCCCAACAGGTCCATAGTCCACCAGATGGAACTGGATATCACTGAAGTTGAAACCAGGAATCTTATAGAGGATCATCTCTTCAACCTGTGCACCCCGTAGAACAGTAGTCATCCCATGGTCAGCGGTGATAATAACGTTGAGTCGGTCAGTAAGGCAATGATCTTGGATTTTATCCCTGATGTAGCCCACAGTACGATCCACTTGTTGAACCATTTCCCGGCGTTCTGGGGAATCTGGTCCATATCGGTGCCCAGTCCCATCTGGTTCTCCAAAATACAAAGAGACAAAGTCCAGGTCCTGTTGGTGGAACCACTCTCCAATCACTTTGTCGATGTTCAGCCTCCACTCTGTTTCATTAGAATAATCATATAAACGTGGTTCCACTTCCCTCAGCCTGACAGTCTCCCCTTTGTAGGTGGCTGCTGTGCCAGGGAAATGTAGAGATCCTGCTTTGAGACCCTGGAAGGAGATGTAGGAGACGAGGAAGGACATTAAACTACATTAAAACAAGGGAAACAGCTTCATGACACAGGAACTTTAAATCATTGAGGTACGGTACAGACAAATCTAAAGAACCTGTCTCTGTGCTGTTATCCAGATGGGTAAGCTGCCGTTGTCCCAGTATGAATCAACAAACTGAGTCATGTAGTACCCCTTCTTCTCCTGAGTAGTAGTGTTGAACCACATGTTATGGATTACTCCGTGATTCTCAACATAGCGTCCTGACAGACAGAAGAAAGAAACACTAATGAGGAGCGTTAAGAGAACGTAAGGGTAAATGTTAAAAGTCCTTCGGTAATATACCATATTTTTCGGACCATAAGGCACACCAGATTATAAGACGCATCAACCACTAACATCAAAATATGATCCTTTGTGTTTGTTCTCAGATTTATGTACAAACACTTCTGAAAGGATGGTCTTGCAGCAGATGTAGATCATGTTGGCTTCATCTTTTTAAAAGACTGTTTCTATTTGTGTTTGTTTGAATTCTGTTTCTATAAGTCTGCCACTGTGAGCAGGGATGACTGTGGCTCAGCTGAAGAAGCTCGTTGGAAATAAAGGTGCATCTACCATCACATCCACTACAGTGGACAGTTGGTCAGACCTGAGCTAAATCTACATCTCTTTGTACTAGCAGGAGGTTTGTTGTGTACCCGTGGTCCAGCCACTGCTCAATAGACACAGAGACTTTAGTAACATCTGAACAACAACCACAGTCGTATTTAGAAAAATGAAGCACAAATTATGAAAGGAAACATGTGCACAACTTTTACTCCTCAGTATCCAGGAGAAAGTATAAAGTACACTTCAAACCAATGGTGTGAATGTTATTAATGCACTAGATGAAACAAGTAGGGATAGTTTATAATGAAACAACATTGCTTTAATAATACTGCGATATAACTAATATTTATTAGATTAATTCTTAATCAGACATCAGTGATGTCTGTATAAATCCAATGAATTCACAGTGATCTTTGCAGTCAGGCATATCTTATTATTTTTTATTGATAAAGCTGCACATAGCCTTCTAGTTCTTCTTCTTTATCCCAGCTGTCTTAGGGCGAGAGGCGGTGTACACCCTGGGCAGGTCACCAGCCTGTGGCAGGGCTAACACATAGAGACAGACAACCATTCACATCTATGGGCAATTTAGGGTTCCCAATTAACCTAACCTCACTAACTGCATGTCTTTGGACTTTGGGAGGAAGCCGGCGAGAGAACCCACATGAACAGTGCTAACCACCATGCAGCCCTAAGGGAATAACTAATATCTCTTTGTATCTTTCAAAATGCACACCAAGGTTGTATTTTTGATGTGAATTATGTTCAATTGTATTTTATTAACTTAATTGGTCTCAGCTAAATTGCCTCATTATTATATCACATCATAACAAAGAAGAAAGTTCATGTTCATGAGCACTACAACATCCCATAATAGAGATTGAAAATGTAACGTCATTTCCGGGGTAAAACCACAAAGGATTGTAGGTACGAGTGACAAGCGGTACTAGCGCACGCAGGCTTTCACATGAAAACAGTCACACAGCGATAAAAAGAAACACAAAGAATGGCAAGAAGCTGTTGTATTATTAACTGGAATAGCCGGTCGCATGACAGCCACGGGAAGCCGACGGGTAAAGAGATTGGTATTTATCAGATTCCGTCGTGGAAGAGAAATTGTTCGAGTCATGTTTCCGAAGTAACAGAGCCACGGATGGCCTGGGTTGCAGCCATTCGAAGACGTCCCAAAACACTCCAGCTCACAGGTTAGTCTGCTCCAAGCATTTCCACAAAGGTCAGTCTTCTGTTGTAGTTATTATGTAATTTATCATAATTGTTGATGAAGGTTAAAAAATAAGTCTTATATTGATTTGAAGTGAATTCGTTGCTTTGCTGCTTTGTTCACTGTGGCTTTGCGGGCTAATGTTTGTTGTGTTTTGTAGGAAAACCAGCCTACAAAATGCAGGAATGTGATCCAGACTGGGCCCCTCTATCAACCTGGGCAGAGATGGGCAGTAACGCGTTACTTGTAACATATTACTGTAATCCGATTACTTTTTTCAAGTAATGAGTAAAGTGAGGGATTACTATTGCAAAAAGGGTAATTAGATTACCGTTACTTTCCCATA